CTATGCAGAAGATAAAATCTAATGACAGAAATATAATCTTACCTTTGAAATCACTAGCTTCTTCAATTTGGTAAGAATATTTTATTGACAAGTAAACATGGGGATGAGAAAGTTATTTTAAGAAAAATTATCAGCAGAATTATGTATATTTTTTACTTTCTAATCTACCAAGTATAAATCTGAAAGTAATGAATGAGTGAAAATAAATACAAATTAAGAAGCTTCTAGTACTTTAAACTACATTTGTATTTCCCAATTAATTAGAAAAAGTGGACCTACAACACAATCAGATAATGTATGACTAAATCATACATGAATACATAATTTACATAAAATAAATGGTAGGAACCTACTCTTTCATAAATTTATGATTATACGCTAACACTGAAGATATGTCAGTACTTGACTATATTACTACTACTGCTATAAGCCTCTATGTTATTACTTTTCATTTTTCATTTCAAACTACCTCAAAACACCTGAGCAATGCAAAGTACATATAAATCCCACGTGGACTTCCTAAACCTGCATGAACAGACGGACACACGCTGGAGATGGGGCGAGCAACACAGAAGGAGCAAAAAGCAGTGGGGAAGAGAAGCTGAGGGAAAGGAAGAGAGCCAGAGGCAGGGGGACAGTGTGGACAGAGAGGGTGACAGGCGGAGTGAGCAGGGCAGCCACTGCGAGCACGAGAGAGTGGCAGATACTGGGAGAGAGACGAAGCAGAGCAGTAGGCAGAGATGAACCAAAGGAAAGCATGAGCATGTGTACCGCAGAGGCATCAGGCATGGCAGGGTTAGCAACAGCAACAGCAGCAGATAAGAGTGTGCGTGGCAGTGCACATGCAGCAGTGAGCGAGTGTGCTGCACACATGCAGTGGAGAGTGTGCACATAGGACAGAGGGAAGAGATAATGTGCAGGAGGGAACAAGAGCATGTGGCAGAGAAAGGGAAACAAAAAGAGTGAGAGACAGATGAGACAAAGTGAAAATTATCCACCTCAAACCTGCTTGGAGGAGAGAAAGCACACCACAAGTTGCAGTACCTTTCAAAATTAAGGGAGAGTTTAGTAATGGAAAATACAGATTTACCTACTCAAGTCCTTAGTTAGAATAAACTAAATTTTTCCTAATATGCAAGGGATTCCCAACAGTAAGGTCAATCTTACATCTCAAGTGAAGAGCAGCACACAAACAAATACTTTCTACTAAGACCTATGAATACCAACATCTACAGATTTGTGTATATGTCCTTTTAAACCAGAACCCAGCTTGTAGTCTCATCATTGTATTTGCTTTTTCATACACTGCATAAATGCATTAAACATTCACATCCTCATTAAAGTCACTTACAAAACTTGCCCGTTTGGAAAAATGCACAGTATCTCAAAGGGTAAAATGATATGATTGCTATAGCCTTGAAACACTCTCACCTGGCATTTATCAAATATCAATCCTGTGAAAAAGCAACACAAATTCATCCTTGAATATTGGTTCTCTTCCAAACCAACATCCAGAAGTCACACCATATCCTTTAGCAAGCAGAGATGAGAGGAAGAAGAGGCCCACCATGCCAAATAGGTGCCAAAGCAAGCACCACAAACTAATAGGGCCAATTAATAAAATATGCAAATGGAGACTTTGAAGACAGAGGTTAAAGTAGTTCCCATGAGACAGAAAATGATTAGTCTTTCCCTAAATGCATATCTGTAAGCACCTACCATGTGTGAACACCAGTCGCTGGCTGATCACACAGTCATACGCACGTCTTTCACACATGCAGCAGATATGATTCTGTCAAGCACGGCTAGTTTCTTGTTGCCACTGGTTTTCACTGACAATGACTTAATTGGTCCATTACTTCTCTGTATGAGAACATTTGGGACATGCTTCATAAAGACAGTTTAAGGCAACTATACTTTTAAAGTACACCTCCGGTATCTCCTGTAAAACCACCCTGTAACAGTAGATACAGAACATAATCTTGCACTGATTCGTATGTTACTAGCCTCTCCCTGTTTGGAAATCAAGCACTTAACACATCGAGTATACATTATACATCCTATTGCTATTGTAAAACTTGAAGCAATTTTAGGTATCAGACTAGAAGTTTCTTTCATAGAACTTCTTACCCTTCTGCATCTAGAAGTCCAAATACAAGAAATTTATCACGAGAGAATATCAATGCTTAATTATTTATACATGGTTTAAAACTATCTTTATTTAGGGACTTTATGTATTGTTTTTTAGATCAAATTGCTTGCGATAAGTATTAATTACGTATTTGATGTGAAAGTACTTGAGACAATTCAGACTAAATCTTCTGAATAACCGCTTTTTCTGTAAGCCAATAACATTCTTTCAGAAGAGAGAGTTAAGAGAACATTATCCTCGTCCTAAAGGTGTAGCATAATTCGATTTTGTATTTTATAAAGTGTTTATAACCTTTACTGGCAATTTAAATACTAATCTGCCAAGCAAGACTACTAGTATTAGGAATCTCATGTTATTTCAGTTGCTCTTTTTCACCCTATATCCCATAGTTATTGGAGGCATTATGTACGATTCACTTTCTGTCTTCAGTGGAACATTCAGGCATGGCCATAGCAGCACACCTTAAATCATGTTCTCACTGAGTTCACAGTCAAACACCCTAGGTTCATCATGCTAATCTTCCTTGCACTTGTCTCCCATAAAGCAAGCATATTTCTCCCAGGAAACCTTCATATAGAAGTAACAGCAATCTAAAAATTCTGAGACTTTCTGTTTTCCCAGTGACAAGGAATACAGCTCCATAATGCTGCTGAGCCCACCAAGTAAATTCCATTCAAAAGGCCTTTAACAGACACTTGCTTTCTAAAAAATTCAGAAGAAAAAATGTGTACACACATAGAAATATACTAGGCTTTTTTTTTATTCTCCTCATATGATGATGAAGTGATACACACTGAACCAACAGCTATCAAGTTATTATTAATTACTGATTCCAGCCACCTAACTGTGAACTGAATTCATGAATAATAAAAATAAAGCAATGCAATCTCTTCAGTACTTGACAGTTCTGATACCCAGATCTTCATCCCTATCATACTGTCTAAATTAGGATCTCAATTTTTACTTTTATTTTTTTAAAGAAACCACAAAACATCAACAAATCTAGACCTGGAAAAAAACTCCTTATGTCTAACACTTGCAGTTAATAAGGCCTTTAATTGAAATGCACTTGTTACAGACTATAAAATATATGTAGTAGTAGTAGTGGTTACAGAGACTGTGCATGCAAACAATTCCACTGGTTTTAATAAGAGGTGTCCATAAAGTGATTGCTATATGCTTACCACATTCGGGATTGCAGGATTGCCCTTAATACAGTTTAACATACAGTGAAATTAAAATCGATTAGCTGACTCCCAGGTATAAAAAGGAAATTTTATAATATAATTTCTATAATGTAGTGAAAGTTATCAAACAGGCAGTATGTAACCAGAAACAAAAAGAGGAGAGGGGAGGGAAAAGGAACTGCACAGTGAGATAGACTGTGAACCACTGATGTTGTTTATGTATGTACAGGGTAACCATGTGTAATAGGAGCTGTCAGGTGAACAAAAAGTGTGTTTACAATACTGCACCACCAGTAACCTACCCAGGGCATATATTACTGTGTGTTAGTTATACCAGACGCACTCTGTACCAGCGTGAAATACAAGTTTTTATACTTCTGTTTCTCTTCATCTCCTTAGAAAGAAAGAATAGGCTGTCTTTCAAATGCTTCTACAATCATTTTGAAGTAAAAAAAGAATGGGAGTTGGATAGGGACAAAAAAAAAGAAAAAAGGCAGCTATCACTGAATAGGCCACCAAATTAGAAAAGCAGAATTTAAAGGCTTGTGATTCTTTGAAAAGCTGCCACCTGTGGAACCTTTTGCACAGCCTTAAAACTAATCATCACTGTACTGTACTAGGTAAACATTTGCAACTCTACTCTCTGCTACAGACATACAGCTGGGTTAACTAAGGTTCAGTGACAAATGTCCGGTTTAAAATCTGCTTTTCTTGAACATTTGATTTTGTGACCCTCTTCCTGCAATTATATAGTGTATCTATGATATTTTACAATAAATGTAGAAGGATTACTACAGCAATATACACACATTATGCAATACTTGCATTGTTTGACTTGTTTGCCATTTACATTACTAGCTTTCCTCTCTGATTTGCACAGAAGAGCAAAATGAAAGATGTACTCGCTCTGCCTTTCATTCTCTCATTGAGAAAACAAAATGTTCTGGCTTTAGCAATAATGTGTCACAAGAATGAAGTAATTCTGCACGGCTATAAAGACTAAGGAAGAGTTTGTGTGTAAGAAGATATAAGACTTTAAATGCAATAAGGGGGCATTGCACAGAATTCGTTTTCAGAGCTGAAAATATGTACATTTACAGTTCATTTATCTTTTTTTTTTTCATTTCTCATTGTTTCCTCCTAAGGAAATTGGTATTTTCAATCAGACAAGTCTTTAAACCTACATGAACAAAATAAATAGCTTCCATATTTAAGTATTCAAAATAGCAATTTCTTTTAAATTAGGAATGCTCAAAAATCACTATTACTGCTAAAACTGAAAATGGAAAAAAATCTGATACTGACCAAAAAGCAGCATATAAATCTTTTTTTTCTTTCCCTCCCTCCCCCACTTTATTTGTCTGTTTAAGTTCGGGGGGGGGGGTTGGGATATGGTGATACTCATTTTCAAATGTAACACCCATATTTTTCCCTGGTCCTATCCCCATCGGTTATTTAACATTACATATGCAAAATTAAAAGTTCGCATCATCTCTGAAATACTGTATTCAAGAACATATATGGCAATCATTTCCCTTTCAACTGTTGACTGCAATAGTTTTGAAGCTTTTTGTTCTCCACACATTCAGCGCAGCCCAGCTTTCGTTCTACCTCAGATACAAAAAAGGAAGAAAAGAAACAGGATTATTTTAGACTCTAACCTGAAATGCCATAACCTCTGGCATGCCCTTCAGCCCTTCCACTGCAAAGGTCTCTGGGTGCAGTTTGGGTAGCTGCAGGGTGAAGTCATTCCTGGTTGCCGCAGTCCGTGACAGCAAGGTCTGATCTCTGACCTGAAGGGAAAAAAACAGCATCAATGGTAATTCCCCTTCAGACACATTAACTGGGATGAACTGGGTCCCCTTGAGCCCACTGAGTGGACTTGCATTGATCGCTGGACCTGAAATCCATGAATAAATTTAGGACTAATTGATTTTTCGTTGCAAATAAATCTCTAATTCAGAGTGCTGGGAGAGAATGTTAAAAAGAAAAAGCATCTTCCCTGGTCTAAAAGGAGAAGGAAAGAAGAGACACTAAGGGCTCACAAGCACACCTGGTACATACATTTCACAGATCTGACCCCTGTAAAAAACTTGTAAAAAAAGAAACAGTATTTGTACTACCGACACAAACAAACATCAGCTATAAAATTTAAAAGTTCATATGATCACACAAACACAAAGTGGGCACGTGAGTTCTGTCTACTGTAGAGAGATCATATCAGTCTTCTACAATAAGGTTCATTTTATTATCAATTCAGTTAAACTCCAGATTAAAATGAATAATCCTCAAACAAAGCAAAATAAACCGACCTGTAGCTCTGCAATTAAGGGAAGGAGAAAAAACAAAACAAAACAAAATTCAAAAAAAACCAAGCAACCCAAAACCCCAACAAAACAAAACAAAAACCTATAAAACCCGAACCTGCTACGACATTTCTTATCGTGGATTCACTGTGAGAAATAATGCACTAATTGTTACTAATGGACTTTTACACAGTTTCCACCCATGCCCGTTCAGAACGGGCACAGAACCCGATCACTCTGGCACTCCGCTAGTTCTGCGGGCAGTCTGAAGGAAGGGAAGGATGGAGCGAACCCCCGAACAGTGCCGGCGCCGTGCGCAGAGCCAGCCGAGCCCGTTGGTGTCACAGTGCCACCTCCCGGCCACGCGTGGCACCGCGGGTAAAGGGTACCCGCGCTCACCTGCAGAGCGGCAGCGGCGCCGAGGTGAAACTTGGCAACGGGAAGGGATTAACGCTGTTGTCTCTAAACACAAGCACGCTTCCCGGTGTTGCACACGAGACGAATATCGCTGTCGGTATTTAAAACCCAACGTTCTTCCACATATAGGAACACGTGATTAGTCTATCGGCAGGCATGTGGAATTAAACATACTTAGCACGTAACTTTCCGGGACACGTAACTCACATTCGTATAACCATATGCTGCCACACACCCATTTTTCATTCTACTTAACACAGAAATTATCGTATTCACCTCCAGAAGATCCCAGCAGTCAGATAAGATTCTAATACACATGAACAGACATAAATCCATACAAATATGTATTTGTACAAATGAATGGATGAAATCCGTTCATTTGGCATGGACCGTATCTGTTGAGTAGCTGTGGCCAACAGTGCAAAAATAATTTACTGTCTTTAACAACAAAATACAGTCTGATACTAAATCACATACTGAATACATACTAAATACATATCAGTCAATAGGTACATTTACTAAATACTATGTAAAATAAATTTCAGTTCTTCTTAGTGCCTCCCTTGCCCGAAAGAGCTCACTAAACATGAATTCAAACATATGGCCAGTCATTCTAAATCCCAGACTACTTTTCTGGAACTGCTTACAGAATTAGTTTTTTTTTGTAAAATGTTGATTATGAGTGAACATGCTTCAAATGTACAGTGCAGCCTCTGAAATCAGCTCTGATTGAAAGAAGTATGCAAGTGTAAATCTACTGATACAAAGAAGAAAAGATTTTATTTTATTCGGTGCTCTGTTCTGTGGGAATAGGGAGCCCTACATTTCCCAGGTTGACCTAAAGAATTCCTGTCAATACCTGTGGCTGCCAAACATATGCACTATGATGCAATTTTTATAACAGGAAAGGTCTTCTACACGTTTTTGCACTCACAGTGCACTAGGTTCAGGATATACAGTCCTGTGGAACAAACATTGTCTCTAGAGTGTTCTGTCAGCATGTGTAATTCTGGTCAGATGTTAACCTTGCTGAATATAACAAAATGCATTACTTTAAATACACATATATATACACACACATACACACACTTGATTTACATTTTTATAGGTTATATATCCCAACTTTTCAGTGTCTTTGCTGCCAGTATGCACACAGATAAAAGAAAACATTAATGTGGATTAAGGTACTGAGAATTTATCAACATCAAACCACCAGTGTTTTGCCTTCTACCCTTCTGAACCATAGTCAATAGATCTAAATATTTTACTGCACCCTGGCCAATTCATTGTTTGATGTTTAAAAACTCACACAGAATCAAAGAAAATTTATTAAATTTCAGCCCCCAAATGAGATACTATTAGCTTTGAAAGTCAAGTTTAACTGCGATATTGATGATTCTCTTTTTTCTGTGACAAAATTCACAAGGGAAATCCCTATGTCAAAGCACAAAAGCAGATTGCTAATACTAGGGGGAAAAAAACAATGTATAAGCAATGTAGGTATAATACACACACAATACACACAGTGGAAGTCCTTTTAACCCTATTAATTTCAAACCCTCCATTTCAGTACTGGAGCCTGATACTCACTAAACAATGACATACAAAAGTATTTTCTTATTTGGCTGAATTGTGGTAAACATGCGACATTAATACCACTGCACCAGAAAAGCACGCATTAGATCCTTAAAGAGAATGATATTTGATATGAAAATTCACAACAAAAAAAAAAAACTATCCCAAAACTTTCTGTGTTTGTAAATACTTAGAGCATAAAAAGTGAATCCCATTATCGACATGCATACTCAGAAACAGAAACTTAAGCTAGAGCTTTCCTTTGAAAACCCTCACTAGGGTTCAGGAAACAGTGCAAGAACAAAAAGGCTGGGCAGATGGTGTATAAATACCATTACATTGTTTCACTAACAGTGAAAACAGTCTTCAAGTTTACCTGTTCAAGGAATGGAAAGCTGTAACAGCCATGCTTGTGCAGAATCATGCTGAACAGGCCATACCTATATGAAAACCTAGTTAACTAATTTCATCACTTCCTGGCTATATGCTTTTTGAGCTGCAGAAACACAAAGACAGGTGTTGGTAGACTCGGATTATTTCCTTATTTTCCAAGGAAATAAGCACAGTACCCACACACACAAATTATGGAACTATCAGGCGAAAGTAAAACTGGCGTTTTTTTTGTTGTGGGTTTTGTTGTTTGTTTTTTTTTTGTTTGTTTGTTTGTGTTTTTTTTTGTTTTTTTTTTTTGTTTGTTTGTTTGTTTTGTTTGTTTGTTTTAAAGAGCTTTTTTTTTTTGACTCCTTGAGAGGAAGAAAAAACATTCAGTGTAGTTAAGCTTTATGATGCACATTTCACAGCTTTTTTGTCTTCAATGACACTTTTTTTTTTTTTCTCCACATGAAATCTAAAGCAAGACTATTTTTTTTTAGATGTCTCCTTAGGCTAGAGACCTAATGCTATCATCTAAAAAACCCTGATCAGCCAATCAAGCTTACTGCAATGATTAAAAAAATCTAAAACCAGTTTCACCTCCCTATAGTCAAAAATTGATAGAAAAAGATATATAAATGAATCTATATCCAACATTAGTCAAGATTTTGACTATTTCTTATTTTAGTAAACATAATTTTGACTGAAACCATGAAAAGTTTCAGAAGTGATTCTATGTAGACCATAATTAATATTGTGACAGCAGGCTGCTAAGTATCATTAGATTTTTCAGTTTGGCCTTACATAAATACTGTTTGAAAACAGGCAAAAGCACAAACGGATCCACACAACTCTAGTACAAGACTAAAAACATTTTAAATCAAAGAAGTGTAGTGACTTATGACAGTGTTTAACTTTTTAATTAATTAAGAGAGCAACATAGAAGACAACACTATAGCCACTCAGTTGAAAATCAATAAAGTACTGATTAACTCAGATCAAAGCTGAAACCGAATAATAAACTGAAGTTACATTATTGACTGAACCAAGGCATGGAATTTGATGGTCTAATTCTACATGTCCAAAAATTATCTTAAAAATTTGCTGATAGGAGATAACAATAATTTTGTCTTCTTTGCTCACTCCTTTGTTTTTCCTCTGCATAGTTTCAGCTGCGATGTCCAGTTATTCCAATAGCCAGTTATAAACGGTATTAAGATGTGCTTAGCCTTCCCTAATGTCTTTGCCTGATTACTGTCTAACCAGCACAGATCTGAGATTTTAGTTCCTTATTTGGGCCTAAATCAATCCTTTCTTATGGTAAAAAGAAAGCAAAATTAGTCCTACCACTATTTTTCATAGCATATCAGTCAATTGAAACAGTGAAACAGAAACCACTGGGCAATGATTTGGTGATACATGAATGAGAAACAGTGACTTTGCTTGACTTTGAGATGACCGTATTTCTGAGACAACACAAGCTACAAATATGTTAAACAGATCATTCTAAAAGAGTGCAAGCAAAATGGTTTCTACCACACTTATGTGCTCTGCATGTGACATATAATTAACAAAAATGGTTTTAGAACTTTTTAAAATAGAAGGAAGCAGTTTGAATGCAAATCACATCTTAGTCTTGACAACAGTCATGTAAATATGTGGCTGATTAGCTGCAGAATGTTCGTACCTCCAGGGCAGTATGTATAACAGAGGTCATATCACTCAAACCAAGGACATGCACATCTACTGAATGTAGTCCTTAGAATCACAGAATCATAGAATAGTTAGGGTTGGAAAGGACTTTAAGATCATCTAGTTCCAACCCCCTGCCATGGGCAGGTACACCTCATACTAAACCATGTCACCGAAGGCTTCGTCCAACCTGGTCTTGAACGCTGCCAGGGATAGATCATTCACAACCTCCCTTGGCTTTATATAGTAACTAACTTGAACAGGCAAGTCTTTGTTACAGTGGTACAAATGCTGATGGAACTCAGGAGACTAACGGAAGCATGTACACTGGATAACAGAATTAAATTCTTCATGAACACTTCCTAATTTTTTAATGTTTAGTTATGGCTTGTTGATGTTCTCTATACTAAAAAATACAAGTAAATATACAT